TCTTTATATATAGTATACAATTCTCTAATTAACTATATATGTTTAATTTTTTTATATGATATCGAAGATTGATCATACAATAGATGGTTTAACATGCCAAAAATATTATATGCTAAGTGAATATAATATGATCAAGTATTACAAGTACATCATTTAATAAAATAAATAATCAACAACCGGAAAATCATACCCGCGCTGGTGCGCGGGTCAAGGTCTAGTCATTCATTAAAATACAATCATTTGCATCATAAAAGTTAAACCATTTTTCTGTAGTAATTAGCATTTTATAGATTTTCAACTAATTTTAATATAGTTTTAATGAAACTTTAGTGGAAAAAAAAAAGGAAAAATATTTAAATGAGGATTGTTGGCTGGCCGTGTTTCGCGTCAAGAACTCCCGCTCCTTCGTACCCTTTTTCAAAACCCTAAAGAGACTCAAAAACATCATTTTTCCCACCTCTCAAACCCAATCTTCCCGCCTCCCCACATCACACCCTCTCCTCTACAATAACCCTCACTTTCTCTAATCTTCTCCGCCCACAACCATGAAGGGACTCTCAACATCTCCCGTGAGAAGAAACGACGCCTTCCACCGCTACTTGAAGCCTGGTGCTCTCGCTCAGATCCGTAACACTAGACTCAACTCTAGATCCAACTTCCCCTTAACTCTTTCCCTCCCGGACCAGACATTATTGTCTTCTTCCGACAGCCAAGTCGCAGACGCGGCAACGCCAACGATGGATCAGATGCCAGATCTCTTGAACAAGGTTTACGGTCCGTTTCGGATCGGTCGGAAGAAACTTGGTCCTTCTAGATCTGTCTTGAGGACGATGATGGATTTGAACCCTTCTCAAAACTCTACAATTGAATCCGCTAGTAATGGTAATAGCAACGTATTAAGTATCGTCGATGTTTTAGTTGCTCATTGAATGTAACCTTTTTTTTTTTCATTTGAATGTAACCCTACTACTACTTTGATATATTGTATCAATAAATTACTTTGTAAGTTATTACATTTGTGGAAAGATCTTCAATTCTCATCAAGACTTTTCCCGATTTGGCTTTAGATCATTGAGTTTATACCCCTACATGTCAGTGGATCGATCTAAAGATTTTGCATTTATTCCATTAGACACGGGTTTGGTTTCGAAAAATTCAAGATTTTTCTCTAGTATGTTGCTATCCATTCTTATCTAGTTTCATGTCTTTGCTTTTTTCCTTGTCTCATTGAGTGTTTGACTGTTTTGTTGGTTTCAAGACCCACTGTTTATCTTATACATGGATTCGAATTTATATATATCCCAACGATCTGTGTGTCTACAAATGGGGTAAATGTTTGTAGGTTAGTGTCGATTAATCGTGTAATCTGATTTCTAGTGAGATGTTGGATTTCTAGAGGGAGTTGTAGTGGGATGTAGCAAGTAACAGAGTGGCCATCTAGGCAAATATATAATAATGAATGATTAGAGCCTTTAGTTAATATGTTGTGTTTGTCTAGTAATATGATCCTTGTGCTATGATACATTTTCAAGTGATTGGCGTCAGATAAAGGTTGAATAAACAGTGGTTTTCACAAATAATGGCTCAAATTGATTAGGTCAGCTTTTGATATTCTAAAATCTTGATGGAAATTTTCAAGAAGAAGATGTGTGGGATGTTCTTGATGGATAATATCAGTAACCACAAAAGACATCCCCAAAAACCTCTTTCTCAAGCCTTAAGTTGGCTTCCAAGCCAACCTAGAATGATTCTAGAGAGGCAGATCATAGAAGGAATGGTCCCTAGCTAGGAGACAACACTTGGCTCCTGTCAATCATGAATGGTAAATGGTTCACAGAGAAAAAGACAAAGAAGGATAATTTTGATGATGAAGAGATGCCCGTAAGGATGGTTGATGATGATGGAATGTGTTACCAGAAGCGTATTCGATCCTCGTCCTCGGTTATGGAAGAAGCTTGAAGGAAATTGAACGGAAGAGACCTGAGCACTAACGATTTTATATTAAGATATGTATGAACCAATGTCTTTATATATTTCCACTGTTATTAGGAAAACAAATTTTTCTTTACGGAAATGACTATTAGAATTTGCTTTAAATCCTAGTTTGCTTTGATTAATATGATTTCTCTGTTGGAATGATAAAAACAAATGTCTATTATTGTTGAACCGATGATGTATAATGCAAAGTTTTAAAGTTAAGTAAACAACAAACTTTCACGTCAAGATTGTATGAGCTAAACTAAACATTCACTGAATTACACGATTCGAACCGTCGATGACAACGAGAGACGGACTCAAACTGATATTGACCAAAACACAATAATATAGTATCTCTTTTTTTATTTTAAAAAAATAATAATAATATATCTGTACCAATAAAGCAATTTATTTCAAGAATTAAATAAGTAGAGGTGAGTTGTAATCAGTGATTGAGGATCATGTGCGGAACACGTGGTCAGTATTGATTCCATTTGTCACACTTCTTCGACAGAACATGTGAATGGAAATTCGATTAAAAACTTTCGAATCAAAAATATTCTTTTATGAATAACTGAAAACACACATTAATGTATAACAAAACCATATGTATTTGTTTTGCTTAAATTTGAACAAAGCATATGTTATGAACTTATGATACTGTAAATTGATTTGTTAATTGTTTTCTGAGTCTTTGACTATGTTCGTTGTTCAATTAATTCGTCGGCTGGTCATGTCGGTAGCTTCAATTTTTTAATTACACATCCAATCTACTTGATATTATTAAAGTGAAAGCTAAACTAATAAAGCTAATAATTTTGAATAATTAAACCATCCCGACACATAAAAAGGTTGGCAGTAATACGAACGATTCCATTAATCTTCCTTCCAAGACCAAAAGCCACGTCTTTGCTTGTCGTCTTCTCTTTCTCACTAATCTCTTTCTCTACATTCTTCTCCAATCTTTTCATAGGATCAATCAAACATCAAAATCTTGTCTTCTTAACTTTTCTTTCTCCGTCTCCGAGGAGACAAAGGGCTCGATCTACTGGATCTGAAGTCTGGAGGGTTCGGTGTTGTTGACTCGTGTCGTGAAATGGTCGTCTCTGGTTTAGTACTTCTTTGAGGAGATTACTTCTTTCTTGGTTTGTTTAGAGAGAGACACACACAAAGATGTCGATGAAGCATCATCATAGAGGAGGAGTAGAGCTGTCTGCTTCAAAGAGTTTTGTCTCCAAGAAATGGACTTTCCTTCTCTGTATCGGTTTCTTCTGCGCGGGAACTCTCTTCTCCGACAGGTAATAACAGAACAATACTTTGTAATTAACTCACCAATATAGTAACTCTTCTGTTTATTTCCCTATCTGAATGATAAAAGTTACAATGATTCTAGTTTCCTTCTTTGTACTCTCTCTATTTGGTAAAGTTTAACACTTTAAAAGTACAAAGCTTGTGATGCATTTTACCCACAAAAAAAAAGAATATATACTAATAGACACAAAATGCTTGAGAACTATAATCAATCATTGGAAGCAGTTATTACCCTAACTCTGCCCTAATTAGACTCTGCATTTTTTAGAATGTGGCCAGAGCCTGAAGCTAATGCTGTATCAAGGGAAGCTTCAGATGAACGGTTGCATTTAGTGTCAGAGGACTGTGATTCATCTAAAGTAAGTTTTCTAACTTAGTTTGTGTCATGAACCCCTAAGAAGGGTTTCTTGATTCCGAGTTGTTCATAGCCATTCTTCATGTTTGTTCAGAAAAGTTTGAAGCTTGAAACAAAAGACAGCCTTGGAGAAGTTTACAAGACCCCAGATGCAATTAAGTAAGTGAAAAAAAAAAAAAAACCAATCTCATATGGTAACTTCACTCGGTTTTGGATTAAGCTTTTTTTTTTTTTTTTTGCTTGTAATGGTGTTACTTAGAACGCTAGACAAAACAATTTCGAATCTTGAAATGGAACTAGCGGCTGCAAGAGCTGCGCAAGAATCAATCATGAATGGTTCACCAGTATCTGATGATTTCAAACTCCCTGAAACTGTCACCAGGAGAAAGTATCTGATGGTTGTTGGGGTAAACACTGCGTTTAGCAGCAGAAAGCGTAGGGATTCAGTCCGTGCTACCTGGATGCCTCCTGGTATGTTGATTTAAGTCTCAAGGTTTCAGCCTTTGAGTATATTGTTTTTGGGACTGAAACAGGGATCTTCTTCTAGGTGAGGATAGAAAGAAGCTTGAGGAAGAGAAAGGGATTGTGATGAGATTTGTAATAGGCCATAGGTAACACTTGATCCTGACACTACCACATATATTTGTAATATTACTAATTGAGTGTCTTTCGTGCTGCAGTGCCACTCCTGGTGGAATTCTTGATAGAGCGATTCAGGCTGAAGAAAGTAAACATGGAGACTTCTTGAGGCTGGTAAGAGTTTTGCTAACGTTTCTTATGTTGCGGACAGGTTCATGGCTTTCTGTTTTTAAACTCTTAATGTTTGTTTTTGAGCAGGATCATGTTGAAGGTTACCTGGAGCTGTCAGCAAAAACTAAATCTTACTTTACCACAGCTTTTGCATTGTGGGATGCAGACTTCTACGTCAAAGTCGATGATGATGTGCATGTAAATATAGGTAAGGATAAACTCTCTTTGCTTTACCTTAATTGTAATGTTTCTTGTCATTTCCTCACTTCTGTTTACGAATACCTCTGCAGCCACGCTCGGAGCAGAATTAGCAAGATACAGGATGAAGCCTCGAGTCTACATTGGCTGCATGAAGTCTGGACCCGTTCTTGCTCAGAAGTAAGCTTTTTCACCTGGTTGCAAGAGAGACTTACTTTTTCTCATTACCAATGTTTTGTTCCTTATTCATTTCTCATTTGCGTTGTTAGAGGAGTGAGATATCATGAACCAGAGTACTGGAAATTTGGAGAAGAGGGTAACAAGTACTTCCGCCATGCCACTGGTCAGCTCTACGCAATTTCCAGGGAACTGGCCTCTTACATATCAATAAACCAGTAAGTTCTTTCCCATAGACATACGCTCATATGTTGGTTGTGTGTTAACCAATGACAAACTGTGTATACAGAAACGTACTTCACAAGTATGTGAATGAGGATGTGTCTTTAGGATCATGGTTTCTTGGATTGGATGTGGAGCATGTAGATGACCGTAGGCTATGTTGTGGTACAACAGGTAAAAAAAAAAGAATACAAGTTCCTTTATCTATTTTTTTCAAGTATGGTAATTTGATCAATGAGAAACTGCAGATTGTGAGTGGAAGGCACAGGCTGGCAACATGTGTGTTGCCTCGTTTGATTGGAGCTGTAGTGGGATTTGTAGATCAGCGGATCGGATGAAGGATGTTCATCGGAGGTGTGGTGAAGGTCCAAATGCTCTTTTGGCTGCATCTTTTTGAACGAAAAGTAAGAGAAGAACACACAATGAGGAAGAAGAGTACAGAGCGACAAAATCATGTTGTAGTATAGACACACATTGGGAAACTCTCTATATATATGTATGTATGTATCTTTAAAACTGAGATGAGAAGGGTGCTTTTTTCCCTCCTTTCTTGTTTCTTCTTATGATTTTTTTTTTCAGTTGAGTTTTCTGCAGACAGAAATGCAGATTTTAGCTGCAAAAAGCAGGCTCCATGAGTGTACTTTCAGAGATCATAGTCATTAGCATTGTTGTGTTTTCTTTGCGTGTGCTTTAAACATCTAAGTTTTGAGTTTTGCTTCATTATGGAATTTCCATCATTTTGTTGATTTTGTATTTTGACATGACTGTAGTTCAGCAAAGGCCGTGTGCGATGTACACAAATATTTAATTAACATAAAGCCAGTTACCTTTAGATTAAGTTTATGTCTAATGGTTCTTGTTACTTATTACTAATCAACTCAACTACCACTTAGATTAAGTTTATATCTTACATTCTCATTGCTTTGCAATCACTTAGGATTGGATTGGATTGACATTCTTTATATTATTTTGATATTAGGATTGAGCATAAATTCCTTATCATTTAGTTGACTAAAAATATTTCATAATTACTATTATTGAGATGATTTATTCATTTTTGTG